GGGGGACCTAAAAAAGTTTTTTTTCCCTTTTTTTTTTTTTTTTTTTTTTTTTTTTTTTTTTTTTTTTTTTTTTTTTTTCTTTTTTTTTTCTTTTTTTTTTCTTTTTTTTTTTTTTTTTTTTCCCCTTGCCAAGAAACTGTGGGCTTCACGCCCTGAGGTGTCCTTTCCAAAGATGACTGCGTGGAGCAGGGCACTTAGGAAAGCACCTGATGTGTGAGCAAGTTTATTTTTTAATATAATAAACCCTCCTCTGAGAAGGATTTAATCCTTCCCGCGGAGGTTGGTGGCAACATTAATAAAGGGCGTATGGGCGGAAGGGGCATCCAGCACTGGGGACAGGCAGAGCAGCCCCTTGGCCAGGGCATGGGGGGAAGCAGGAGCTGATGGTGGTGAGACAAAGTAAAACTGTCCTCATCTGCATCTGGATAAAGCAGGCTGAAAGCAACGCAAGGAAACGAGAGGAAGAGATGCTTGCAGATCCAGGAAACTTCATGGTGATAAAAAAACCATGGAGACACGACTCTTTTTTTTTTCCTACTCATAATTTTGAAATAAAGATATTTACGGGGCATTTTGCAGCCTTCCCGTTTTTATTTTTAGGTTTGTTTTCTTTCCAGAGATTCTCATTAGGTCATGGAATAGAGCCTCAGAGTTTGAACAAGTTACATATCTGGATAGTGAATCTAAAAAAAAATAAATCCCCCAAGTATGTGCTTCACATTCCTCTTTTGTGTTAACATTCAACGCACATGCTCATGTTTCGCTGGCACAAATGCTTATGAAAAGCGAATTTCAAAGTAAACTGCCAAAGTATGTGAAATAACCCAGCTTTCTCTTAGCAAATAAAAGTATTTGTGCCAAAAATACCTTTGAACTCATCCAATTAGAGAACAGTAAAAAAACATAAAGTGAGACTCTTCATGAGCAGTCCATTGAATTAAAGGGAAAAATAATCAGATAAGAAATAATTAGAAAAGGCTGTCACCTGTCCATGACTATTATGAGTGGAAAAATGTACTGCCAAAACCCAAGTACATAACTGCATTTGCTAAATAGGAAAATTAATAATTATTGGTTGAGGCCTAATAAATCAAAACTATGGTGTTTCCAATGGGCAAGAGCAAGGCAGTGCTTCCATGCACACTTGCTAAGCAATCTACTTGTCACGAGGAAAACCACACCCTGTAGTGATTTCTACTTGCCAAAAAGCAAAGATGAGGGATGACTTTCCTCCCCTGAGACTGTTTCTGCAGAATGTATTTGTCCTGTCTTTCCGGCTGGGAGTCAGTGTCTCCGGTCCCTCCTCAAGACCCTGCTTGTCAAGTGAGTCCTGTCTCTGAAATATTTATACATACCACATCACCTATATTTCACAGCTACGTTAAGAGGTAGACAGTCTCTGGGAAAGACGGGGGGTGTTCAAAGAGAGCAAATCATATATAGCACAATGTCACCAGGCAAGAGACGATTGAAGAACTGTGTGAGGCCAAGGTCCAGTTGCAGGAACATCAATTCTCTTTGTGTCAATGTTTTCGTGCTCTACTCTGCTGCAGCCTGTCATTTATTTCTTTCCTGGGATGATGCAGCTATCTGTGGGGCCCGGTGATCTCTTGAGCTTGTGGCCTGACATTTCTGTCACCTGTTTCCTGCTTATTTTCTTCTCAGCACCGCATCCAAGGATGTCTCCAGGATCCCTGAAGTTTGATCTCTTCCTCCCCTCCCTCCCTCCCTACACACGTGTGTGGAAGTGAGTACAGCCCAGCTGGAAGCTTTGCTGCAGCACTTCCCTTGCTATGGCTTACTAAAAGGGAGTAGCCATAGAAAGTAAGAAGGGAAAAGGAACACAACAGAGCACCTGGAAGGCAAGGGGCAGAGCCAGAGCCACTCCAGATGCTGCACGAGAGGTGAGGAGGGGAAAGCCAGAGGACCCTGTGGTGCTGCAGCAGAGGTGTTAGCAGGGAGATGGGAAACCAAGGGAATTCTGACTGCAGCAGAGGTCTGCACGGAGGAGCTGAGCTCACAGGGTTGCTCCTGCCATGCCTCTGTGCCAGGCTGAGCCGGGACAGTCCCTGCAGCAGTGCAGCACGGGCCCGGGGCAAGGTCCAGCCCCAGGCAGTGGGACAAGGCAGCCAGAGAACCAAAGAGGGGGACAGCCGGTGTGTGTGGGGAGGGGGAGCCCTGTCAGACCGCTAGAAACAAACTAGGGACAACAGCACCAACTATTCTGCAAAGCACGAACTGTCATCAAATGGGAAAGCATGGGCAAAGCTACAATGACAGGGTGCAGGCAGACTGTCCACTGTCTCGTTTCTTTCTGTTTAATTTGTCTTCACAGGACAACTGTAAAAAAGAAATACATAAAAAGGCTAGTTTGTCGTTTCAAAGTGCTGGAATCAGCATCTCTTTGGGGAAAAAAATTCCCTGTAGCCTAGAGGACTGCTTCCCACCACCCTTAACGCTGGTGCTGCTCCTGCTCCAGATCCTTCTGGGTATGTCCTGCTTCCAGTTGAAGCATGCCCGCATAGGGCTATAAATCCCAAAGGCTCTGCTTTGCTGTCCTCAGTTCTCCTCATCTCCACTCCAGGGAATACACCTATGCTGTATTCACTTTTTCCCAGATGCATTTTACAGCACTGATAGTACCTCTGAGCCTCTAGTGTATTCTCTACTTTTTTGATTAGCTCTCCTCATCACAGAGAGTGTTTGGTACTGAAAGCAGTGATGAAGAGGGAGTCCATCTCTATTCCTCATCCAAGGTATCATCCTGCCTGAGCTTTACCAGCCTTCCCCCCTACACTTCCCTGAGGCAGCCAGTTCCAGGGCCATGGTGGGATTTCTGGTTGCCATTGTACTGGATTTTGCTATTCGTGCTTTTACCCAATGATAATTTGATAAACTTCCATTCTTCGGTTAAGGCTTATGTGAAAGTCATTGCAATCTCTTGCCCCTGTGATCTCAATGTGTGCCACTCTTCTTTCCTCAGCTCAAGTGCAGACACACACACACCATCCCACTTCCTGTGCAGTAAACACACACGCTTTTAACTGAACATTTTCTTCCAGTCTCTATGCTTCTTTGCCTACATATCTAGTTCGCCAGAGATCCTGCTGGTTTTTTGCTCTTGTGCAAAAGGACAGATTGGGGCTGGTATGGGGGCACAG